GCCATTGCTATTAGGTTGGAGGCTGCTATTAGGTTGGAGGGCATCGCTATTAGGTTGGAGGCTGCTATTAGGTTGGAGGGCATCGCTATTCAGTTGTGTTTCAGATCGAGGAGGCTCACGCATGTGGCACCATTCGATGACCTTCCGCCGAATACAAAAGCAGGAGTGGTGCTCATGACACCGCCAAGACGATGATCCAAGATGTGCTGACGATCCGAGCTGAGCCTTGGCACTGCATATCCAGGCACCGCTGAGCTGGTGTGGCATCCAGCCGTTTTACGATGTCATCACAATTGTCCGACATGTTTTGCTTCGACTTCGGACTGGTTAAAATATCAGGTTTGTTGATCTAGAAGCTGGTGCTTGAGATGGGGACGCGCAGTCCATCGCAGTCCTTTAAAAAATGGCTACAACTTTTGAGCTTCGTCACGTGTGATGTCATCATGTCTACCTCGCAGCAGCAAGGACCGTGATCACTACTACTTCGGAGCAGATGAGCTGTTCAGGCCTGAAGCTACTGACACATAACCCATGTGCTGAACGCGCGCCAGCTGATGATAAATTAGCTCGTCGATGGACCAATAGACTAAGTAGTTAGCTGCTATTTGAGTGGCACTTGGGACAGGAACAGCGCATCACTGGCGCATCACTTAGAAACCGTGAAGTGTAGGGCGATATTGGGTTGGTCCTGAGCTGACCACAGACCTTGATATTTTCATAGGTACATAAAGCTCCCACAGTTAACAAAAAGGACACATATTCTTCCTTAATGGACTTCGTTCTTGCTCTCACTAGGAGGTTGTCGGCCCCTTTTTTAGATCCAATCTATGTTGTGATTTCCCAGGTTCCAGCCGAACATTGCAGACAACATCCTACGGGAGGCACCCTTTTTAGCTGAGACATTGCTCGATGGCCTGATTTGGCGCTCCCACAAGAGCCAGGAGAGCGCCTTGTTCGGCATGTTTGCTTTGTGTGGCCCTCCTTGCGAGTGTGAATGGGGCCATGTCCATTCAGGAATAGACACGGCCAGCACGGCCCACTTGGCTTTTGACGCCTTTTTGCGATCATGTGGTTTCTAGAGGAAAATGTGGATGGAACAAAATGCAAACTACCATAACTAACATCAAAGACTCATTCATAGAGTTAGTATGCATATGTACCAGCACTCTCTAGCAGGTCTCCTTTGATAGCTTTTGGAGACTGAAAAGTGGCCGGTAGTGACCTGTTGGAGAGTGCTGGTCTATTCTATTCAATTATCAATATCAATATCATGTATAATTCGTTTCCCCCAAATGACCCGGACAGGGTTTGAAACTGAGTGGTCTAGATTTTGAGAGCAGCAGGACAACTTGCGCCCGGTGATCTACTACCTGAAACACTTGCTTCAAGACATGGACGAGGTGCCCCAGCTGCCAATTCTGCGGGTTGAGAGGACACGCTGCGAAGAAAGAGGAATCACATGGCGTCTATTGAGAAACAGAGAGAGAATGTGTGCGAGAGAGGGGGAGAGGGAGAGAGTGCGAACGAAGACTCAGTGGAATCGCAAGGGTTTCGCTTCACACACACTCGCTGCCGCTTATTGACTTCTTCCGCACTTTCTGAAATTTCTCGCCTGGCACCACTGAGGAGCAGATGTTGTCTCGAGCTTTAATCAGCTATGTCCGTTTCAACCACCCACAGACCATTATGCATCCGCCCCTCGCAGATGAAGGTGATTCGAAGCGCGGAGCGTTTCAACGTGGAGAACATGGGAACATGTCCAGGTGGGAACATGGCGCTGTGCTCTCGAAACGGGCCTAATTGGTTGCTCTTAGTCTTAGTCTTATTAGGCCCTGCGAGCCTTGCAGGGTGCTGCGGCCGGAGTGTCAAACACATGCATGAGACCCATCTCAGATGTACCTAATTTATCATCCTAACACAGCTCAATAAATTGTTGGCTTCGTTCGCATGTTCAAAGGCCAACGCTTTTCGATGTATCTCTTCAAGCTGTGAACGGGAGAAGTCCTCGGTGATGGAACGGAAGCTCAATTTTTGAGCGGCCGAGAGCCAGACCTGACGGAAACATGCAGCAATGCAAAAATATAAGCAGTTCAAGAAGAGCATGACCTCCTTCTATCTCCGTTTGCCCCGAGTGGGCGGGGGGCCCATCACCAACTGAGTGGTTCGTAAAAAGTACCCGGGTCTTTCGAAACAAGGGCTCTTGAAACAAATATATATATATATATAATATATAGACTATATATATAATATATAGACTATATATATAATATATA